TTAGCCAACCTAATAGTAACTTCATCATAACTCACCTAAAACTAGATGAAAATGTTCAACATTTTGGATTCACAAATTTCAGACACACAACATTTAAAAAAATTCAAACGTTTTCGAATCCAATTCTCTTCACTCTGACGGCAGCCTTCAGAGGCTTCGGAAAGGAGACAACGACAGCACGGAGGTAGTTTCCTCCTATTACAACTGAATTAGTAAAAAAGGTAGTCAAAATCCTATTTAATTAACAGTCAGACTGTCTCAAGCAGAGTGACACTCAAATTATGAAATTAAACCTTGAATATTACATAGTTCTCGAGATGTCATTGATTAGCCTTAACACGAATTAGCGCGAAAAATTAAAGTTATTCTGACAATAACAGGTTTTAAGAGTGCGAGTACATTTTTGTACTGTAAAAATTTTTTTCTGTTTCGTAGAGTTTCAACAATACCCTTAATTTATGTTTTGTGTAAAGTTAAATTGGGAATGAAGGGGCATGAAAAAATAATGTTCTCGAAATTCCGTTTGAATATGCCCCTTGGGGGTTGAAATTATCGAGGCGACTATTGAAGGTGAGGCGCCGCTACCGACTGAGCCATACGGGAAGAAGAGGAGGAGCGGGCGCTCGGTGGTAAACATAAGGGTGAGAACGACAGCTGTATACAGAGTGACATTAAGAGTTGTACACCGTTTCGGTAGAATGCATACTCTGGCTACAAAAATCCTACGAAAAACCTCCTGCCCCCCCCCCCACCTTTGAAGAAGAACAGAAATTCATATTTATAAATGATTTGTGTAAATACGATCCACTAAAAAGTTTATCAATGGCATAAAAATGGACTCTAATACCAATTCTGAACAAATGTACTGAAAGACACTCATCCCGTTCTTCCAAACTTCATATTAAATGTTACAAGTCTACAGAGTTTTCTTGGAGCGAGATCATGCAATCTGACCAAAAGTGTGTGCGCCTGCAACCAATGCGCGCTACTTGACGAGCATTAATTTTTTTAGGATACACTAGATTTCTTCACTGTTTGGCAATTATTCCTGACTTTTTCTCGTTATTCGGTCATTCTATGATGTCGCCGCTTGAAAACAGAACAAAAAAACTAAAACACAGAGATGGAAATCGAACCTGCGATGCGCGATTGATAGACAACGGCGCTCACCTTTACACCACACGGCGCGTTTCCTCTCTTGCGCTAAAACAATTATGAAACGAGGAGTGGGCGCTGCTTTAGCCACCGCTTGGAATAACGGTCGCGTTCTCGCTTGTACAGTAACAGGGTGTTATGGTTTTGTGAAATGTCATGTCTGGCCTCCCTTAAAAATTTGGGTTATGGAGTAATCAGCTTTTGATAGTAAATTACACAGATATATGTAGTCTAAACGTTAAAACTGGCAGGACACCTGGACTGTCGGTGTGTGAGCGGAGGACAGTTTGAGAAAGAACGGTGACTGCAATTTGATGACAATACGTTATTATTGCCTTGTTGTAAATAACCTACTATGTGTCACCTTTCCACAATATTTCAAAAGAACAATAAAAAAAAGGTCTTTTGGGAGAATTTGGAAGAAACAGTTCAGTATTTTCATTACAGATGTGAAGACAAACCGCTCATAACACTCACAATTAGGGGATCCTTAGAATGCTCCAGTCAGTGATGCGTTACTGTTATGAACTTCTCAGTTTATTCTGTTTACCCCTTATAATCCTTTGTTCATTTTTTCGATTTTGAGGGACTTTCAACGTGCCATAAAGACTATACATAAACCTTTTTTTGAAAAAGTTATATTTTCTGAAAACCACATTTTCGAGAGAAAATTCCATTCATTAATACAATGCTCTTAGCCTAAGCCGTTCACTCTCCGCTTGTTTATTTCATTTTCTTTGAGAGATATCAGCAAATTATCAACTTTCTCAATTACAGAATGAATTTCTTTAAATTTTGACACTTTTTGATATCTTTTTCAGGAAATGAGCTGTATGAGGTTGAAGTTGACGATGTAAATAGTGTTACGGGGTGTTGATTCTATCATAGTGTTTACAATATATTCATAAGCAAAATCGTAGTGATAAAATTTCAAAAATCACGTGTTCTACATTACAAAAAATTTTTTCTGTTACGTCGAACTGAACATCAGGTAACATATTGTATTTTTCGGTTCAAACGAGCTTCAACAAATATCCTCAAACGATACCTACTTTTCACAATAATTCGAAACACATGTTCTTCAAAACTATATGTGACAACATTGTTAAATTGTTTCAGAGTTTCCGAAAGGTGAAACAAAAATTTCATGTGTTTCAGATGTGGAAAAACACAACTTTTCATGTTTCGTCACCTGGAAGATTTCATTTTTGATTTTTTGCTCTCAAAGGCGTCCGGAATAAACAACTGTTCGTTTTTCCCGACAAATGTTGTTTATCGTTACCAAACCTGTTCGAAATCCGAAACCAGAGAAGAGTCTCCTCGAGTGTGGGATGAAGGCGAAATGTCAAAAGTATTTATACTAAATCATCCTTCGTTCAGCTCTCATTCTCCTTTTAGAAATATTCAAACATCTTCCCTCCCTATAAGTGTGTAAATCGCCACGTTTATTCGATATCTGAAATTGAAACCTGAGAGGAGCCACCATCATCCCGTCGGCGTGTGAGGATAGACACACCAGAGCCATCCCAGACCTTTCCGTATGTCCCCTCGTCCTTGAAAGCATAGAAAAGTCGATAGAAAAGCGATATTCATCTTGGGGGCAATCTATTAAGAATGCCGCCGCTGGCACAGTTTATCATAGCTCGTCGTGTCTTCTTGTTGCTGTTGCTCTTTGCTCAAGTGCAGCAGCGGAAAAATCACTTTTATAACTAGAGTTCTCTTGCTTCTTGCTCTCTTCTTTTCTCACTTCTTGGGGCCCACCACCCATCGTCGTTATTCCCAACGGCAGTTTTAGGCGTGTGAACTTTCTGCTCCTCATCGTACAACCTCTTTAATGTTTTCCCATCTAATGTATCCCCTGGTTTTCAAAAGTGCTTTCTTATTTTGGGTGCACACCAGAAATTTCACGAGGATCAAAATTTCACGATGAATTTATGCTTGGCAAATTCTTGAAACTGTTTTTCAGAAATTCGGTAGAATACGTAAATTTTTTTATTTCGATTATTTGATTAGCTGAAAATATTCAAAATGTATAGTTAGCATAGGCTATTTTGAAAATTTGGATTTTAAAAGTCTGAGGTGACAAGATTTGGAATTTTGAGATTTCGATATTTCAAGAAGCTGATGTTTTGACATTTTGAGGATAACAAAATTGTGAGATTCTGGGATTCCGAGATTCTGAGATTCGTAAAATTTGCTATTTTGGTATCCTTAGATTGATACCCAAGAAAATCCTAAAATTATGATTATCCGATGCGCTGAGATTCTGAGATTCAGTAATTCTGAGATTCTTAGACTTTGTAATTTCGAAATTCTGATGATCCGGGATTCTGAGATTCTTAAAATCTGAAAATTGAAAATTTAGAAGTTTCAATGAGATATTCTGTGATTCTGAGATTTTCTAATTCTGAAATTTTGTAAATCTGAGGTTATCAAACTCTGAAATGTCAAAATTCTTACTTTTTGTAATTTCAGAACTTGGATATTCTGAGAGCCTGTAATTTTTAGTTTCTCGGGAAATTCAAAATTCTGAGGTTCTGAACATCTAAAATTCTGAGATCTGAAATTCTCTGAAATTCTAAATATCTGTAGATCCTAGATTCTTAGAAACTCACTTTTAATATTTTACGATTCTATAATTCTGTGATTTCAAGGTTCTGAAATTTTCGATATCTTGGAATTTTGAAATTTATTAATAATTGCTGCACAAATGGTTCCGATATGCATAATTTGAAACGGAAATGGACATTTTAATTGTTTTTATTTTGTTTTGTTTTGCAGAACAGCAATTTTAATTTGTTTGGTCATTTTAAAAGTCGAGTTCTGAATATCGGTTTGAAAATTTTCCAAAATCAGAATCTCTTGAACTGAATGTTAAAAGCAGAAAAGTTCATTTAAAAACCATTTTTCAAAAATGACGCCTTCTATTTTTAACAATAGGATTTCATTAGCTCATTTCCATTTGATATCGAACGTTTGAAGTTCTGCTTAGAGTTTGTTCCTCAAGCAGTCATTCCATTTATTTTGCCTCCCAGAATCTTTCCCATTCAAATGTTGCCTCTTGAGCATTTTGCCTACGTCATAGATAAACGAGAAATTGTTGCAAAACAGTTTTTCTGATATTCTATTTTTGTTGAACGTCACTTCTCCAGAGAATCAATCTTTCAAGGCAACTCAACAGAAAATGTCAGAAAAGAAGTGACGTGTGATAAGCTGGTTAATGTGGGAAAACGTTTAGCGGACCACCCGAATATATAAATCCATAGGCTTCCTTTTCTCTGTGGCTTTTATTTTTTCAAGCGTTCCAAATTCTCTAAACATTACTCCTCTCAATGATTAATGTATTCAGAATTGGTTCATCTGATTCACGAGCACTTTTCAACTTTTTATGTTTGCATATTCAACAATTCGTCTACTCTCTTTTCTTTGTCACTTCTTCAACTGTCCACCACCGCCACTTTTTAGGACCCATCAGTTTGTTTTGAGACGAAACACCAACAAAAAAGATAGTGACACCAAAATATTCGTGTCTCCTTCTTCATTTTTTCAGAGTTTTTTTTCGCTCTTCCTTCGTTCCACAGCAATAGTTTTTTTTCTGTGTGAGTGTGTATGTGTGTCGATTGACAGCGTCATTTTGTCATATATAAACATTCGTTCCGCAATCAGCGCACCACTCTTCCTCTCCTCTTCCGCACACTTGCAGCGTGTGCGGGCTCAATTTCTGAAGAAGTTTTGGAAGAATTCATAGCGTCCTTTAGACTCTTTTTTTCTCTGTCTTGTCTCTAGGCTTTCTTAGATGTTCTGTATACACGTTCTTAATTTTTTTTGTTAAAAGTTCCAGATATATGCGCTCATACGAGTTCGTCACCAACACACCGCTCAAACTCGACCGTCACAAAGTATTTCTTGTTGATGATGTGGCTGTTACCCGAACCGTCCCTGCACTGCAGCCACTGTCTCCATCCACCACCGGTAAGAGCACCACTTTCAATTTTATTGCACTTTTTAATGATACTGTTTTGTGACTGGTCGTGCTTGTTTTGGCCAAAAAATAGTGTTGGCGGCAAAACAGTAATTTATGTTGGCGCCAAAACAGTAATTTTGTCAATCCGAATTTTGAATTAGTCCTGAAATTACTACAGTTCTAATTTCCTCAAATGAGTTTTCTCTATGAATTTTATTCCCTGGCTAAATCGAAAGCGTCCAAAATTTTCAAAAGATGCAAGTTGCATTTTTCGTACAATGAACATCTAAAATTATTGAAAATGAGTATAAACAAAATTACAAAACAACCAAGGAACATTCAAAATTGAATTTCTCTTTTTGTGAAAACAATTGTCGGTTTTTGTTTTAAACTTCAGAATTTTTATTTTTGAGAATTTTGAGAATTTTCCTTAGAATTTTTTTGAATTTCTCGAATCTCGACTTTTTATGATTATAATATTCAATTTATGAATTCCCTAATTGGAATAGTAATTTTCTCTCAATTTCTAATATCCATTCTATGAAAATTTCAAAAATTCTTTGCGAAATATTTTTCGAATTTTTTTCTCAAATTTTGAAACTTCAGAATTTTCCAGTTCCTTTTTTTTTCCTAAAAAAATTTTAGTTCTTGAATATTGATTTTTTTTTCTGAATTTCGAATTGTTACGTTTTTAATAATCAATGTTTGAATATTTAATTAGTGATTTCCCATCATTCCCATTCTTATATTTTTCAAAATTTCGAAAAACCCCTGTGACCTTATTTGGGCTCAAAATTGTGCCTCAAAATTTTCAAAGCTTCAAAGTCTTCAATTTCCTCTGTTTTCAACACAATTGAACACGGAAAAAACTTCTGACTTCACACTTTTGTTTCATTGTAGTCTTGTCCTATTCTTCCTTCTTCTCCTCCTCATCCTTATCCTCAACCTCTTCAACAGCATTCAAGATTGAAATCTCAACGGGATATATTTTTGTGTAAATGCTCCCAACATCTCTCGCCTTTTTGCTGTTTCCCTTCATCTCTTGTTAAATTTGGCAGAAAGTTATCCGCCCCCTGTGTTATATACGTATTCCCAAGAGTCATCTTGCTTTTGTGTTCTCAATAGGCGCTGTTGTGACAATTTTTGGCAGCGGCGGACCCGAGAATCTTGCAGTAGCAACAAGCATTTGAGAGGAAAGAGTGAGATAGCATAAAAGAGGAAATCGGTGCGAATCGTTAAGTCCATTGTTGATTGTTGCTAGACTCTCGTGCAAAAGATTCCGAAGTTTTTCTTGGGATGTTTCAATGGGGAATCTAAAAAGGGGAAAGAGAAGAAACTTATTGTTTATCAAGAAACATTGTAAAAAACTAACTAAAAATACGCGTGAAGTGGATCCAACGCATCTGAAGTGTCATCAGAAGGAGGGGAAGGATTAGTGAATTAGAATATTCTGAAGGAAAAACTGATTATTGATTTAGATCTATATATTGTCAGATAGTTGTCAACGGATTCATTTTTTTTTTGAATTTATGAATTTCAAGAATTAATATTTCAGTTATTTAGGTTAGTAGTTTCAAAAACCCATTTTTTTTGGAAATTCTCTTTTCTAGAGAATTCATTTCTGAGGAAAATTACCACATCCAATCGTCAACTTTAAAAAAATATAATTCATTTCCTGTCGAAGATATAAAAAAGTTGTAAACTCATAAATTAATTATCACAATATGAGAAGTGTTTTGTCAATGTACCACTTTTCGATATCTTGCATAGGAATTGAGATAAATGAGTTCTAATTGGACAGTGTGGAAGTTCTTTTTTTTTACGAGTAGTGTTTCTGAATTTTTCGTTATTTTTCGTTCCACTTGTAATTCATTCAAATTTGTCAAAAACCTGAATTGACAACGTTCCCAAGCTCTTTTTTTTTCAAAATTTTCAATTTGACCAACTTCGAAAAAAAGTTTCAAAGTTTTAATTGGGGTATACGTATATTTTTCTTCTGGAAACCAACATTTTTCAGTAAGTATTTTAGTCGGAAAATGAGAAAAGATGAAAAGGTTTTCCGATAAATATATTTTGAATCTTCCTTTCTAATTTTATTGGTTTTCAACGTTTTAAAGTTTTGTTTGAGATTTTTGAATTTCTAATAATTTTGGAATCAAAAGTTAACCGCCATTCGGATTTTCCATTCTGAACCATCATTAGGATTTTCCATTCTCAATTTTCATTGGGTGCATTAGTATAACACATTACAATGCACGCATCCACTTTTTCTCCCACAATGACGAGATGTAGCTATTTAAAATTGGACCAGATTGCAAAAATAGGGCGACAAAAGAAGAGATTTACATCCGTTTTCAGCTCTCGAAAAAGGGCGAACAACGAGAGCAAAGGAAGAGTGCGTTACGTTTTTACTAGTGTTTGCAAGTCGTCATCGGCCCCGAGAAAGTCCATAAAAATCCTTTTGGTTTTTGTTCTGTTGTTTCAATAGTTCAAACAATAGTTCAAACAATAGGAAAGTTATCGGTTTCTATACCACATTATAATATTCGTTATATTCACTGAAGTGAGAATAAAACCATCGTTAGAACGGAGGGTGGGGTCCCATAAAACTCACTCACATCACATGGCGTGGAACTGTTTTAACCTCATTTTGGATCTCTCCACAGTTTCCAAACACGCTGCTTTTTTTGAAAAAGTAGTTTGAATAGAATCTAACCGCCCTCCACTACCGCAACACTTAACGGATAAGGAGGGGAAGACTTCGAGACGCAAAAAAGAAGATTAGGTTGAATAGGGGAATACCGGTAAATGAAATGAAGATGCATCCACTTCTATAAACTTTCTCTCTTCCCCCTATCCTCCGGTCGCCGTCGTCCTTGACTTTGCCACTACTCCCGACGATCAACGCTTTTAGTTTAGTTACGCCGATTTGTTGAATTATATTATTGTAAAGGCAACTTTATTATTGTAAAATTAGTTTTTGAAATGAAAAAAAAACGCATTATTGTTTTCTTTCCTTTGAAAAAATCTTAAGTTATATCTCACCCTTCTTCGCCTCTTCCTTGTTTCCTCTTTTCCAACAGCTGAGACTTTGAGATGATGGATGTGCATATCTCATCTCGTTGGGACCATTGTTTGTTCTCGCCTCAGAGTTTACAGAAAATGGAAAAAAAGCGGGTGCCATTTTTTTTATCGAACCCGAACGACTCTTTTTTCCCAAAGAATTTGCAGTTCATATCCCAATCCCTCATCTTTCTCAGTTTTTGTCACTCTTTAGAGACCTTCAAAAAAAGAGGAAGAAGAAGAAGAAGAACCCTTCTCTCATGCAAATCCCAACAGTTTCATTTACCCTTCGGTTTGTCTCTATGTGGTAGATGGATAGAAAACTTGTGTCTAGGATATGCGTGGAGAGAATTGAAAAAAGTTGAACATGCGACGTCTCTATCCGTTCGCATCTCACCTTCGTTTTTTTTCTATTCCTTATCGTCGTTTCTCTCTCTCTCTTTTGTCGTCATTTTCGCATCTGTTTTGCCACAATTTCCATTAATGAGGAATGGATTTGGAATCTTGGTATACCGCGATTGTAGCGGTTTTATTAGGGGAATTTTTCTTTCGATTGTAAGAATTCCATTTTGTTGGATTGTCATGGTTTTTCTTATTTCTCAATTTTTGAAGGGAACTCTTCTGGCTAACTGTAGACTGAACATAATTTTGAGAGGATAACGTTATATTTTGTGACAGCACCTGGGTCACTTCAACTTTTTAAATGAATTTCGCTAATATATCATTGGTCCTAAAACTGATGTTGAGATATGTATCACGCTTTATTTTTTGTCAAATAAAGTACCTAAATTACCGTAATACCTCTAATTCAAACCCCCCAAAGCGTAAATTTTTCTCGGCTTTTATAAAAAATATGAAAAATGTGTCAACTGATGAAATGATTGTTATCTTATGATGAACAGCTAATAAGTTCACAAACTTTCGATATTTTTAACAGAAACTGAATCAAATTGGCTCAATGTTGACGGTTTAAGTGAGCTTCTATTAGATTAAATACAGTGGTTATCGGATCATAATTTCAAAACATTTGAAAATCTTTCTAAAGATGTCTAAAAATTGTTTTAAATTTCAAAAAATCCCTGTAAAAATGCTCGTTATGTGGTGAAAAATTGCATTCATCAAATAATATTTTCCATAAAATACAAAACTTTCAATTTGTGCTTCATAACTTACAACTATTAGATTTTCTGAAAATCGCTTTTTTCCTGGATATTACGTAATTGGACACCATTTCGGTAATTTTCAATTTTCAGATATCCTACTTATTTTCATGAGTAGAATTTCCGTTTCAGTTATTTTCACAATTTTTGAGAATTTTTGAGAATTTTATAAACTTGTCAGTATAACGCTCCGAGCTTTTTTTTTAGAAGCTGCCTGTTTTTTGGACTGAGTTTTACTTTTTGGAGCTGAATCATCAAAGGAAAAATCCTCAAAAAAAATTACTGATTCTGACAAGCGATACTGTGAGCGTGTAAGTTTGTCTTGATACAAGATTTCGAACTAACTAAGTATTCACTTGGAAAGAAACGGAAAAGCCATCACATCCAAGATACTTGACTTCTTAAGCGTTGATGCGCTGTGCCCCAGAAAAAATTTCGTTCAAGTCGTGTGAGCGAAGAAGGGGCCTGAAGATTTCCGAATTCGCCTTCTTCTCACGACAGGAAAAAACCCATCTTCCGGCCGAAAATTCTCTCTTTTCATTGACTATTCCCATCTTGGTTGCTGTGACCCAAACCCCAGGAAATCACTACTAGCATCCATGTAAAATTGAAACTTTTTATTTCATCCGACGATTCCCACAGGTTCTCAGCATGTTTTATCTGGTACTTGAACATTCATTTTTTGTTCAAGCGCTATTTACGAAACTAGAAATCTTACCAAGAAGTTTGATTCTTTCCTCTTTTGTCTACTTCCATCATCCTTCTTTTTCCTGCTACTTGCAAAGGAGATTTCAAGCAAATCCTGTGAAGAAAACGCCATGTCTAGCATTTAATGTTCACTGCAGAACAAAAAAAAAGGCGAAAATCTCTTTTGTGGCGTTGTCTCTGACCGCAACAAAATCAACTTTTCTTTCAGTTTCTTAAATTTTGTCGTTTATCCTTTTTCACCAATGAAAAAGTAGCGGATAGATTGTGAGAGCAATTTTTTAAACTTTTTGACACTTTTACCCAATTTTGTTTTTTGTAGAGAAGGGGTATTTACTTAATTTTGTAAATTCAAAACATTGACTATTCAGGTTTTTCTCCCATTTTTGTAGAAAAATCAATTTTTTCTGAAAATTTCGATTATTTCAATTTCAATGAAAATTGAAAAAAAAATATTTTATAAAGTGGAAAACTGTTCAAAACCTTTTTTTAATCAAAATCGGAATTTTATCACAAATAAAATTGAAACTTTTGACTTAAAAATCCATACTAAAACTTTAAGAAATCAAAATAAACTGACAAAAAAAAACTAATTATTGGTAAAGCTAAAGTTAGTAACTTCAATAATTTTTCCTTCGAAAAATAATCTTTTCCGAAACCAGATTTTTTCGACACCATTTCAGCAAAAAATTACCATTAACCCTCTGATTGAATGTCCAACTGTAATCCCATATAACTCATTTCCTGTCGAAGATATCAAAAAGTGATAAACTGACAAAATAGTTTGAATTTCATGATCAACGTTTTATTAGTTGAACATTTTTTGATATATTTTACGCGAAACGAGATAGATAAGCCTAAAGTTGACGATTTGAGGGCTATTATGTTAGAGTGTTTACGGCATTTATAATTTGAATGATGCTTTGATTTTCCATAATTCTATAATTTTCAGCATCCTCATCATCCAGTATCAATATGATAGAGAGATGTGTGGTGGTACAACGACAACCGGACGGCTTCGGACTAACAGTCAATAATGAATTCCCTGTCTTTGTCCACACCTTGAAACAAGACGGAGCCGCGTATTGTGCCGGTGTTCGACAAGGAGATCGAATAGTCAAGGTTAGTTCCCGCTCTTAATGTTTCGCGCATCCTGAGTAGTACATAAGTAGTTCAAACTGAATTGCATTCTCCTTCTTTCTTTTTTCTTTTTACCCTAAATCATGTTTAGACACTAGACACCCACGACTTCTTTCCTTTTTAGGTCAACGGAATGTCTGTGTCGCCCAACAACCATCGGGAAGTGCTCCAAATGATATCAAGTACGTCAAAAATTTTGTTAGAGTTAGGGCGAGCAAAACATAAACTTTCTAGATGGCCAAAACGTGGCTCTAACGCTACTTGGAAAACCGCCGGAGCCGCTGACAAATCTTCCATTTCCTAGTTCACAAATGGAGCAAAAAATACATATCGCAGATCCAGTGCTCATTGAGGTATATATTATCGTCACATCCTATTTATAATTAAGTGATGTCCAATTAAATTGGTACTCGTTTTGCAGGCCAGTTCAAAGAGCTGGCGCCAACGGCGGAACGAATTACTCGGGCAGATGGTGGATGAGGAAAGGCGAAACGTCCAGGTCAGTATATATTTCATTTATATGCTCTTTTGGGTCCTTTATCCCGATGCGGGGAGCTACCCTCTTGTAATCCACTTTATCCGTTTTTTTTGTCTCTCTGTTTCACGATTTCAGGAACAGTAGAGAGGGCGACGTGTTAAAGCTCAAAGAACCTTTATTTGAAACACTGGATAAGACAAATTGCGCTTCTGTTGCTCCTGGGGTTCTGACGTCCTTCAGAGCTATCGAGAAAATATATTGGTTTCGGTGTGGGCCACCAGTTTTTTTCTGGCTCCTTGGCTTTCGTTTTTTTTCCTCTCCTTTTTTTCGGTTTTCCCGATGGACCTGTGCGGAAAAGTAGGACATTTTGTAATGGTCGTTTGTTTCTGTGGCGTGTTTTGTCAAGATTATTAATATTTGAGCCGTTCTCGGCAATTCAATTTGTCTAGGTGCTTTTTGAAGGGGGTGTGGTAGTCAAAAGCCGTCGGTTTGAAATTTTGAGGAACATTTTTTCGTTGGTTGCTATTTTTAGTTGTTGATCGGCTATTTCGAGGATTATTTATCAAATTATCAGGATTTGTAAGGATTTATAATAAATTGAAAATATTAGCAAAACAAAATACAGTAACCAATGTGAGAAAAGTTTTTTGAACTTCAACCAGGAAAACATAAATAGTGTTACAATAAACCATCCGAATACCGTACCTTGCAACGTTTACAGTATCGTCGAAAAATTTCCTTAATTTTACTCTTTTGTTAATGAAAAATGGCACTTTGAATGTCTGAAAAATATGATAAATTTTGTTGGAAGAGACTGAAACTTTGAGAGGTCTACTAAACAAAAGTAGAGCTTCAATTTGGTAAATGACATCTTTTTTTACAAACTTGGTGAAATGCCGGCCACCGATTTTGCAAGTATGGAAAAACACAATTTTCAGACTTATCAATAACAGACTGGACAATTTCGGGACATTTTTGCAAACCGGTTAGAATTTGAAATCGATAAAGTTTGAAATTTTTGGTACTGTACATTGTGCAAGCATAACAAGCTCATATTTTAGACCACTCAGACTTAATTTGAACTATAATCTGAGAAAACCCATCAAGATCATTGTCCCTGTGTTTCACGGTCCATTCAATCGTACGGTATATTACTGTTGCTTATGATTCACAGAGGTTTAAACTTGGGTTGCCAATAGTATCTCCAAAACCCAAACTTCTACCAAACCCAAAACTAAACAAAAACCCCCAGATATTTTTCCTTCAAAACACGCGACCCAGTACTAACAGAGTCACCAATTTTTTGACAAGTTTTCTCGAATAAACAAGCAACGATTTCTTTTTTCTAAGAAGCGACGCCGGGAAGGGATGTCATCTTCTTGTGAGCTATTCCCTCCCCATTTGAGCTTCTTCTCGATCCTTTTCCCTCCTTCTTCTGCTCAGACAGAAAAACTGGACATCGTTTTGTATCCTTTGTGTGAGAGCTCGTGTGTGTGTGTGCTCGTATTGCGTCGAATGTCGCCCAATCACAGAGTTTTGTCACTTGTCCCCACCCTTATTCGATGATTCCAAAGCGGATCGGGGGGTTATCCAATTGCAACGCCTGTTGTCAACATCTCTTGCCCACCAACCATTCTTTGGCGGGTCCGATTTGCTCTTTTTATACACATATACATCCTCTACCCCACTCTTAGTCCAAATCCGTGTCGTTTTTCGACTGGCGCCCTTCTTCTTCGTCTTCCCCTCCTTCTCAAGGAAATGGATCTAATGGTCCTAAAAGTGGAAATACTACGAAAGGGCTCCCCCACTCTATGTCCCAAACATATAAAGATGAATTCATAATTGTTGGAAAAAGCCATGCGCGGACTCCCACCACTGACGACCCTCTTCTCGATTCTGTCAACGCTCCCAATACACACACTTCCGCTTTCGTCTTCAGTCCATTTTGTTTTTAGCACCATCGCTGCATCTTTTTTTTTGTCTAAACATTTATAATTTTTTCTTGTTCATCAAAAATGTTCCACCGAGTGTGTTCATCAGATTTAGTTCAGTATTTTTCTTCATAGTGTTCCATACTAACGAAATCATGGGGTGAGAAAAAAAAACTTTCAAAAATCGGATTTTTTTGCACAAGTTCGATTTTCGTTAAACCGGTTGGTTCTTTGTTCATAACTCCCCCTCCTACCAGTTGCTCATGTTATCTGCGCCCCAGGATCTTTGAGTGTCAAATTTCAAAGTTTAGGGACTACGTGAATCGTCGCAGAATGGCGAGAAGATTGATCGAGCATTGAAGCGGATCGTCTCCTTGCAGTCACAATTGAAACAAATCAAACCGGAATCGATCATTTCTGATAGTCAGAAAAGCTTGGTAAGTTGTTATCACTTTTTTCAAGTTTGTTCTTTCAATTTTCCCGGATTTATTAGGATTTCATTTTCGAAGTTTTCGTGTTTTGATATACCGTATTTGCTCTAATAGAAGCTCATCCAAACCGTCATTGAACTTGATTATCTGGATTTCTGTGAAAGATATTAAAAATTGGTCAACGATAAAATAATTATCATAATATTTACAATATTTAATCAGTTAAAAAACATCTGATAGCTATGTGTCAAAGGAATCAAGATAATTGAGCTCAAAGTTAGTGATTTGAGTGGGCTTCTATTAGAGCAAGTACGGTAACAATCTGACTTAATTGTGCCTACAGTAAGATTGTCATGTTTCAAGTTTTCTAGTAGAAGAAAGTCAAATTTAGAGTCCTAAGATTAAATTGAGAATTTTTTATTGTTATGAAAATTTTAAAAAATTCATTTTTGTAGTTGACGACATTTTCGCAATTAAAGGTGGGGGACCGGTGGTTTTACAAAGGATTTTTGGAGCCAGGGTATGCATTCTACCGAAACGGTGTACAACGCTTAATGTCCCTCTGCGGACAATCTAATAATCTAATCTAATGCTGTCGTCCTCACCCTTATGTTTACCATCGAGCGCCGGCTCCACTTTTCCCCGCATGGCTCAGTCGGTAGCGCCGCCGCACATTTAATACTTGCCTCGACAAGTTCAACTTCTCGAGGGGCATATTTTTTTCATGTCTCCTCATTTTTAAGATGAGAATTGCAATCTGTAAAAAAGAAAACGCCAAAATTAGCACTGCTCTTGCCATTTCAAATCCACTTACCGGATTTCCCCTAGTTGGAGGTCACTTCAACATTCAAATTTGAGTTCAATTATTTCGGTTCTTGTCAGTGATAACTGGTCAGATGATAAATTATTTATCATCAGTATTATATCAGTTGATGAATTGTTGATGTCTTTCATAGGAATCGAGATTAATAGCTCAAAATATGAGAAGAAATTCGGTATCTCGCTTGTTTAGATTTTTACAGAAAAGGGGTCAATTGCAAAATTGAAGTTCTTATTTCGTTCTTTATATTTTGAAATTTTTGAACACTTGAAGTTTTCTGGGCTACTTTTTTAGATTTTCACAGTTGACTATTTTTTTCACAGTTGACATAAAAACTCAAAACGTTATGTAGTTTTCATTTAGTAATGTAATTCCTAAAAAAACTTTTTAGAAACCGATTCAAAATTCACGCTCAAAAAAAAAAACGAATTTCTGGTCTAAATTCGAATTGAGAATTTTTTTCTACTTTAGACCAACCTAAACATGGACATTGACAGCGACGAGGAAGAGAATGATGTTGTATATTTGGTAAGACACCAGCAACCATCCCACACATTATTGTGTTTTCCTTTTTCCAGCCCGAATCTCAAGGAGGTCCATTCTCAAATTTGGCAGAGCTCAAAACACATCCAGCTCACTTGGCGGTGTTCATCAATTATCTTTTATCTCATGGAAATCCTAGTAGCTTGGTGAGTGTCATGACCTAGCACAACATTCTCAAAAGTCCAAGTTTTAGTTCTTCTACCTAATAACCGACGCATATCAGTCCGCATACGGCACCGCAAAGGAATTCCGACGATGGGCATTCGAGATTTTCTCCACGTTCATTATTCCAAATTCGCCGATGTGTATTCCCAACTCTAACCAAAGCGTTATTCAACCCATTGACAAGGTTTGAAGGACCGAGCAATTTCTATTTCCACTTTTTTACAGATCATGTGTATGACTGCGGAGCATATAGGTGAAAGTGATACCGATACATTGAAGCGAATTTTTGTGCCGGGGAGGCAGCGGGCTGTAACAGACATTAATATGTACCTGAACGACTTTAGACAGAAGAAACAGCTCGGTGGACAGGTGTCTGAATCAGCAAATCAACTGACGCATATGGTTCGAGGTGACATGTCGATGGAGCAACGGGTGAGTGATGTCAGGTGAAATGCAAATTAAGAAGCAAAAAAAATTCAGGTTGGGGAGCAGATGTTGTTCCGCTGTCTTGAGCAAGTGAGCAACTCCACTGACTTTGACTCTTGTGAAATCAAATCACAATCCATCATTTCCAGCCTTGCCACTGTTATTAAGGTAGATTCCCTCTCTAAAAAAGTAATATTCTAATACCATGTCCCTGATTAAGATCGTACTTGGCAAGACATCATCGTCGACTAACGAGAAAATGCTCGACAAGTTTCCGCAGTTCTTGGCACGCGACAAGCCACCCGGAAAGAGTCGCAAATTGCCGGCAAACATCAAAAATCGCATTCAAGTCAAAGGGCACAACTTCTCAATCAACTCGGTCAACACTGTGCACTATTGTTATCAGTGTCGAGATGCGATCTGGGGAATGCAGCCGTGGATTTATTTCTGTAGTAGTGAGTGAAGAAAGCTATAGAACAAAAGTGGATACATGTTGTACCTGTGACAGAAAAATCACTAATCGTCAACATTGAGTCAATAAAATTCATCATAACATCAAAAACGATTTTTCTCATTGAAAGCCACCTTGCACTTCAAGCTTTATTATCTCCATTTTTATAAGAGATATCGAAAGTTTGTCAACTGATAAAATCATTTTTATCATATTACTAACATGTTATGAATAGACAAATTCTTGAGATTTCTTGTAAAAATTAAGATATATGAGTTTTTTCGGACGCTTTCTATTGAAGCGTTTACGATATTTTGAATACGGTTTTACCGTAAAACCTGTGATAGAAGGCCTCACTTTAAATTTTGAGCAGATTTATCTCGGTTTCTGTCAAATATATGCATATCTTGAATTGAGAAACTGTTTATCATAATATTAAAAACATTTTACCAGTTGACACGTCTTTGATACTTTGCATAGGGGCCAAGATAAATTTGCTCAAACTTGGCAATATACTATTACAGGTTTACGGTAGCAATGATGGAAACTTGGTCGACAATTCAGAGACGAACTTCACAATTTCGAGAATTTTTAGCATTCTTGCAATTCATATATTATTTTCTAGGTGTTGAGCTGTTTTTTTCTAGTTTCGCAGAACTTCAATTTGACAATATAAGGTTGACACCGAAAAAAATTATTCTTCCAAAACTTCAATTTTTGTCCTCATTTAAATTCCAAAAAATGGTCTAATAGAACGTCATCTAAGTTTATAAGTCAATTATCTTATTTTCTCTGATTGATATCAAAAATTTATCAACCACAAAAATGTGGGTGATATTATAAAAAAAACATTTGATGAGTTGACAGGTTTTTGATATCTTTTAAAGAAAACGAGATTATTGAGCTTAAAAGTACATGTCTAGGATTGCGTTTATCAGAAAATTTCGGCTAATTTGGGATGATTCGACTTTCATATATTCGAGCGGAAAAGATGGATGAATAAAATGTATTCACGTATTTTCCAGACTGCGATGTGAAAGTCCACCCACACTGTACTTCGGCGCTGACGGACGCCTGTTACCCGGTAACTCAATCCAAGCAAAAATCCAAGGTTTGCAATTTAACTTTTCCCCTAACACGTTTCTAAGTTACGCTTTTCAAGTCTCGCCTGTCTGGTCTAATCGGCCGTTCCGATGCTAACGATGATGATGACTCGGGTCCGAGTGCACGGCACGAGCCGCCGAATGTAAAGTCGACCAGCTCAGACAGCGGAATCGGTGGCGAACACCATATGGATCGCGGCATGGTCTCCCGGTCGCATAGCATGAGATATCGCGTTGTGAGTAAACTAACAGCTTATTGAACCTCATGGGGACAAATTGAAATTAAGGCTACAATACCACAATCGTTGTCTGAAGACAAAGTATCAATTCCAAGTTCAAAACGGGATAGGTCAGCTACACCGAGTTGGCAACGGTCTGCAGGTTATGATCTCACGCCAGCCGATGAGATTGATGAAAGTGATATCAGTGATAGGAAATTGAAATACTTGGAAAGGAGGTAAGCAAACACTCGGCAGCAGTTTTTTGAATCTAGTTTGATCTCTCTCTTCTTCTGAGTATATTTTTATATTTATATTGACCCAAACTATTTAAGATCTCTCGAGAGCTCAAGTCGAATGGCAATAGATCTGCAAAGTGTGAGCGCCGCGTCCAGTTGTTCTCATCATAGCGGCTCTGTGGTCACAGATGACGATGTAAGTATAAATAAACATCCCAGTTATTTAAGATTTCTATTTTCAAAACGTTTAGATTTGCGTTCGTCGCACCACGACTCTTCAGTTCTCAAGATTCATGGATGGCGATAGCGATTTCGAGCTGGAAACAGAGGCTACACCTCTAGAGCAGCTCATCGGATGGGATGTACTACGACATTTAAAACCGAAGGAAAAGAAGCGACAAGAAGTCATAAATGGTAAGATTTGTGAGTTGAATTTAGACAATTTCTTTCTAATTCAGAACTTTTCCACACCGAGCGAACTCATGTTAGGAATCTCAAAATTTTGTATCACCTGTTCTACAAACCACTCTGCACCAACAAAATGATCTCCGAAGAACTCATGACTCTACTCTTTGCAAATCTCGAAGAACTCCTCGCTCTGCACAAAGGCATGTCGGATGCCATGCGATCTGAAGTGGAAAAAGTAAAACTTTTTGTGTTCTGGTGTCAAGGCATTTATGAGTTTTGTTTCAGTGGCGAACTGCGCCTCCACGTGTGAATGGTGGTATTTATGGAGATATCGGTTTGCTGATGGAGAGTATGTTTGATGGAGAAGCGGCCGAGAATTTGATGAGGGTCACTGCCACGTTCTGTCAGCATCAACAACATGCTCTCGAGTTTTTGAGGAATCGATGTAAACGAGAAAAGGATGATGCTTTTGTGAGGTTTCTCGCAGATGCAGAATCCAATCCGGTTTGCCGGAAACTTCAGCTGAAGGATATGATTCCAGTAGAGATGCAACGTCTGGTAAAGTATCCATTGCTTCTGGAGACCATTGCAAAGTATACCACAGAGCCCAGCGAGGTGAACATCAGAGTATTCAGTCTCATATAAGAACCTCAGCATCTTTTAACCACAGATTTTGGTGAAAACTTCAGGATAGGTTAAGAATAACCTATCTAGACACTTCTCGATATTTCAAAAACCGCTCAATAGTTACAGTCAAGTTACCGTATTCCCTATGATAGAAACCCACGGGCTTCTATTTTTACCTCTTTCTCAGGGTTGGTTTTTTTTATCAGAGTGTGGGCTTCAATTAGAGAGTGAGCTTCTATTTTTCAAAGTATTTCTTTTCAAATCACACTTTATTCTAAAATTCAGTAATATGACAATTCGGAAGTTATGAATTCTGAAATTCAGTGTTTTGGAAAATCCGAAATTTTTATTCTGCAATTCTAAATTCCAAAATTCCGAAATTTTGAAATTCTGAGATTTCAGGATCTCAAAATTCCAATTTCAGGAATTCTGAAGTTCCGGAACAAGCTCGAAAGTTCTAAAAATCTGAATCCGAAATTAAGAAATCAGAAAATTTCGAAATTAAAAAATTGTCGAGTTCTAAAATCACAGTTCCGAAAATTCTGGAAATTCGAATTACCGTATTTTCTCTAATAGAAACCCATGGGCTTCTATTGAAAAGCTCGCGCGATGGGCTTCTATTAGAGGTAGGCTTCAAATAGAGGTAAACTTCTATTAGAGGAAATACGGTATATCAGTTGCAGCACCAAAACGGGCTTGTATTCAGTGCATAAACAGAAATGTTTTTCGAAAATTTGTTTTTTCGAATTTTTCACCACGGTAGATTGATTTGAGAATTACTGAAAAGTTTGTTTTTGAGAAAAAGTCTGAAACACGATGTTCATAAATTTTTGAGTTTAGCGCAATGAATGTCTTGTTCTAGAGCGTCCTGGAAGTTAAGAAAATCGTCTTTGAGTGTCTATGTGTTTCACTGAAAACGCGATTTTGTTACTGAAAGTGATAAAAATAACTTGGCTGAAACCGATGAGCAAATTCAAAAATTTTCAGAAGTAGGCTATATTTTTAACCTATCCTGCAATTATCATCAAAATCTGGAGGTGTTAACGTTTCCTTGACAAACCTCACCATATGTTTTCGGACTGACCAATCATTTTTGTTTCTTTCCAGGAGCAAGATTGTTTACTCCGAACTGTGACCTCCGCGAAAAAAATCTTGAGCGCTGTCAACACAGCAAAACGAAATGCAGAGAACTATCGACGTTTGGAAGAATTGCAAAAGCGAACCGACACGTTACCATTCGATAAAGAATTCTTGGGACACGACTATACAAACTTGAATCTCACAAAGTTGGTTGTCACGAAATCCGGTTTTTTTTCAAAAAAAAAAACGCTTCTTCTTTTTCTAGATTCCGTTTGGTACACGACGGCCCATTAACATGTCGGTTCAATCGAGGAAAAATGGTCGAGTTGCATGTCGTTCTTCTCGAGAATATTTTAGTGCTGTTCACCAAGTACAGCGATGGAAACAAACTGGTCTTGAAGGTTTTGTAACGTCGTGTGTATAGAATTAATTGATGATTTTAGGCACTTGAGCCGTCAAAGGAGACCAGATGGTCACCTATCCTCCCATTAGCTCCGTTGATTGCCAAGGAGAAGGCGAATGACAAGCGAGCGTTCTTTTTGATTTTCAACAGTCAGTATGGGGCACAGATTTATGAGCTTGTTGCGGGAACTGCAACTGAACGTAAAACGTAAGACGTTTATTATTCAGCACCGGTCAATAAGATATGCGAAGATGCGTTTTTCCAGTTGATTTTGAGTTTTCGGTATAAAAAAGGGCCAAAGAGGGGTTTATTTCAAAATTCGGCCATTGGCTAACAAAAAAAAGTAGGAATTTCCAAAAAACTCTACAAGTGCAAAGTTTTTTTCTCTAGATCTGTTTCACACCTTTCGAAGTTTTCAAAATGATCTAAAACTTGAGATGCGAGCTCCAGATTTTTGAAAATGGTCTTTAAAAAACTCAAACGCACATTTTTTGTATATCTTATGGACCAGTACTGTATGTAAAATGATTCTTCTTATTTCATTCCTCTTTTTTTAGCTGGTTCAAAATAATGGGTGAACAAATCGCCATCGAGAAACGCAACGCCTCCTCGGGCATCGATCACAACTTTGATGTGGGCGCATCAACAAGTCTCGACTCGGATGGAATTGCTAAAGTGAATGTGGTCACTCATCCGCGACTCGTCAACGCCAACGAGATCACAATTCAACAGCCGACCATACTAGAGCACGCACAGCCAGTGCTCACGCCGGCGGAGAAGTTGAAGCGAAGCGATGAGATTATTATTCAGACGCTGGTTACGAAGCAAACTATTCTGGCACAGTTGTTGACAACAAATGATGAAACGGTAGGTAGTTGTACCTGTGGAAAAAGCTCTTTCGTAGAAAGGGCATTTCAAACTCTAGCTTTTTTTCAGAAAGGCAACACAGAAGAGCTTGAGAAAATCACCGAGACGCTTGGAGGGTTGGCAGTGTCCGATTTAAAGCAACGAGATGGGAAAGAGCTTGCCATGTCTGCCATTGTCCATGGTAATCGTCTCCTAGACAGTATCAATCAGAGCCTGAACATTCGGAAGGAGATGGGAGAGAATGGTCAAGACGTCTTCATTCTGCAAAACCAGGAGCCATCCAACGTTCCATCGGTTCCTTCCTATAGGGTGAGACATTTCTTTTTAGGGAAAACAAAGTGCATGAATATTCAATTTTTCAGTTAACCACAATCGCTGCCCCCTTGATGAATCATCTGAAAGCTCTCATGCAAGTGATTCAAGACCAGCAAAATGAACTGAACTTGGTCAAACAGCAGTTGTACCAGTATAAGGTAAACTATAGGTTCATGAATTGGGTTATCAAGGAAGTGTGTTTTTACCGCGTAGCTCACTGGATAGCGTCAGTGATCCCTTTTCAAGGAATCAGTACCTGTTAATAGAATTTTTAAAACAACACTATTTTCAGTTGATTTTTGGCCATTTTGGATATTTGTTTTGAGTCTGGAGCTCAGCAATCAAGCATTCGCAAAATTTTTTTCGAAAATTCCGAGTTTTTCAGCTATTCGCCAATTTTTGAAAGGCACCTATTTTCAGGTTACCAGTGCTGAAACGGGCCAATAAGAGGTGTCTTTCCAAAATCGGCTAATATTTTTTTAAAAGAAATTTTCAAAACATGCTATGAATCCAAAGTTTTCGGCTCCGCCTCTCTTCGAAACCAGTCATTTCAAAACCGGTCATTTCCAAACTATATTAATACATGCGGATGAATAAATTTCCAACTACAAGCATGATTTGAGGGTTTTACAGTATGTTTTTTTTTCTATAGAACACATTAAAAAATTCCAAAAGAGCCCAGATTTTGATTTTTTCCGAAAAGTGTTTTGAATTTTTTGAGTTTCAGAATGTTTCCTATCAGAAAAAGCATATTTGAAACCCTTAGAATCGTTTTGGTAGTCTGAAATTCATCCATTCATCTGTATTACCACGGTTTCAAAATAACCAGTTTCCAAATGACTGGTTTCGAAGTGTCGCAGTTTCGAAGTAACGCGGAGCCAAGTTCTCCATCTAGGTCTGTTTCACACTATCCAAATTTTTCAAAAGGATCACAAACATGACAGCCGAGCTGTAGACTCCTGAAAATATCCAAAATCAACTGAAAAATATGTTTTCGTACAAATTATTAAGCAAAACTAGTAACGGAATCATAAGAAAACGTGTTCCCGACCACCACTAACCTTAAATTTCAGCAAAAACTCACCGAAGTCGAGCCACGAGACCGATCTGTTTCCGAGGAAACCCTAACGGATCTAGACGAACGATCGAGAACCAAACGACCCCGACTTCCATCAATACAACCAATTTCATAATTTTTTTTCCTGCCCACCTATTTATTTTTCACCTTTTTTTAATTTGCTTATTTTTGCCAATCAATATTTTTGTGAATCTCTGAAAATATTTTTGCTTCCCTTTTCTTTTTTGCACCTTTGTATTTTTCCGCCCTGCACAAAATTATTTCTGCCCGATGTATTGACCACAAAAGTATTTTTTTGTCATCTGAAATCTCTATTCTCTCCAAAAATCAACAAAATATTTGTCTCCTCCACCAACAATTATTTGTGAACCCCCCGCATTTCACGGATACTATTTTTTCCCCATTCTCTATGAACTTTTGCCTACGCCGAATGAATAGAAATCAGAAAAAAAGTATACCAATTCATTGAAAGTAAAATGAAAGCGAATCTTTGGGGAAAAGACAAAACTCGTATTCTACCCAGACAAAGTGAAATTGAGGCATAGGAAAATATAATAATTTTGACAATTGGAATTAAATTAAAATTAAAATTGATATGCTAGCAGATCACCTTGAAAACTTGAGTCACTTATTTTTGTCAAAATCATTGGCTGGTTGAATTTTACGAGTGCCGTAGATCATTTCCGTAGAAGTCCAGGAGTTGCGGAATGCAGGAACAATGAACACAATTGCCAAGATTACACCACCTGAAAAAATCAGTTGGCGAAAACATTTCTTTTACCTAGAGTTCCTTTTTCCCTGCTTTGAAGTTCTTAATTACGCCTAGTTTCATAAACTACTGTTTTTCCTATCAAAGAAGCCACCCAAACCCCAGAACTTCGATCTCAATTATCTAAATTTCTGTGAAATATACTAAAAATGAATACAAATAATTGAGTTTAAAGTCGACGGTTTGGGTGTGATAGAGGAAACACGGCAAATAATTCGGAGGGTACAACAATTCGGGGATACAAGGGATTAAAAAGCAATTTAGGGGTACAAAATCCTCAATTTGGGGGTACAAAATACATGAAAGAAGGCTTAGTTTGTACCCCTAAATCACTTTGTACCCCTTTGTACCACCAAATTGTTGTACCCTCCGAATTATGTGCCAGGAAACACGGTAGTTTTGTATATTTTGTGGAAAACAGCCAAGATTTTTTAAAGGGGGGTGCATTTTGTTAGATAAACTTGACAATTTTCAGGTTTACAAAACAAAGATAGAGTTTCAGTTTTGTAGTTGACAAATTTTTTTTACGAATTCATAAAAATGAGTTAATGCGCTTGAAACTGTCCCGACGTTTAACTCTGAAAAAATGCACAAGAGAACCTTAACAATTCGTAAACCCAGGTTTTGATAAAAATTTCAGAATAGGTTAACAATAGGCTATCTAGACCTTCAAATTTTATAATCTGATGGCCAGTTTCAGCGGAGTTAGTATATCGTTTTCAGTATTAAAAATCGCCTTTTCATTGCAAAACAGCGAATTTCAAAAACAAATTTTTCAACTTCTAGAAGGTTCCAGAACATGAACTTTGCTATGTTATACCTTGAATTCAATGAAACTTCATATTTCAGTAATTTTCTCAAAAAGTCGAATTTCGTGTAATTTGAAGAATCACACAGCAAAAATCGTGTTCTTAAACGTCCTATAAGTTGAGAAAATAGTTTATAAAAATCGTTGTTTTGCACCGAAAAGGCGATTTTTGGTTCTGAAGCTTACATGACTCGGTTGAAGCTGGAGAGCGGATCTTCAAAATTTCAGAAGTGTCTTGTTAGACAGGTCTCAACTTATTCTGAAGATTTACGAGATGAATCTGGGTTTACGAGATGTTGAGGTTCTCTTGTCCAAGAAGATCTACTACCTTTTAAAGACATCCTAAATGGACTATTTTTGACTAAAAATCAAAAAAAAAACTACTGTTTATCGGTACTGTAAACGGTGAAAGATCATTTTTCTGCATTCTCAAATTTTAGAAAATTCCCTTATCCAATAAAAAAAACGCACCGAGAACGTCAGTTGGGAAGTGCCAATTATCGGTGACTCTCGTTACCGCACACACCACTGTCCAGATTGTGTAGAAAGGGACGAGAATGTTGCGAACCGTGATGATCTCTTTGATTCCGGTGTTTGTCGCCATTCTAAACCATTCTAATGACATCATCATCATTTCAATCAAATTGAATACCTTCTCAAGTAGATGTAAACAAAGAGGAAGACATGGAATGCGGCGGCAGTGTGGCCGGAAGGGAACGATGTGCGCGCGGTGCGGATCTTTCTAGGATTCGGATTCGTGCACACCAGGTCGCTTGCTGAAATAGTATCAAATGTTATGTGACTCTTTAAATGAAATTCTTACGATCAATGAAGCTTTCTTTGTCACTGCAATCCACCTTAGACCAATCTGGCTTGCACACACTGACAAAATGTGGACGAAGGCGACCGACGCTGAAAATTTAAGGGTCATTATATTAGTTTCTCAATTTTTCTGCTCACTAGCACTTGAGAAATTCCATAGCAAAGGTGCACGCAGCATACATCAAAAGATATTTGAGATAGGTGATTGTGGTGGCGGAGAAGAATTTGGCAAGACGGTTGGAACCCTGGAAATACGAAAAATCGGGATTTGACCAGCTCCAAAATATTTACCTTAGCTTTGTAATGAAGGATGGCTTCAACCAGAGCAACGATGAGAAATGGAGATCCAAGGGTGACGACGAGGAGATGCTGAAAAAATTTTAGTTCGAACTTGTGATTCATGGAGCGCATGCCGGATTTCCGTTTGTCTCTCCCACTTTCCATAGTGTTATTTTCATCAACTCGTGATCTTCTTAACTCTCTCAATGTCTTTTTAAGTATTTAATTTGAGTGTTGTATTGCTTTGTCACCTAATTCAAGCCGGCAACACACTAATAATTGACACCTGAATACCTCGCGAGCGGCTTTCATTTCGATTTACAAGGCCTTACCCCAAAACCAATTTTTTAGAAGCAAAGTTCGATTGCTGTAAATTTAGTTTGATTTTCAGAACCGAATTTCGATTTTCAGTGAAATTTTTGTGGCTAGTATCTCCAGAACCTGTTTTTTTTTATCTTAGAAATGTCAAATTTAATACGTAAAATAGTCAGAATGAGTTGAAATTCTAGAATATACTGTCTAGCCGCTCCTCCTAGACAGTTTCGAAGAAGAGAGTTTGAGAGTTTTTAGCATTTTCTCGATCAGCAAGCTCCATAATTTATTAAGGAGAAAAATTTCAGCATCGATTTTGATATCATTGTGTTTTTTAGTGTTGTTTTGCTCCAAACCCACCTTCTTGCGAGCTCAATTGAAAAAGAAAACATATTTTCTCGACCTTGGTTCGAAAACCTTGTTTTTTTTTTCAAAAATCGTTCACGTATGAATCTTCAAGAATTTCTGGTGCCTGTTTTTCAGCAAATTCAACAATACGAGCGCAGGATTTTCCAACTTCAGACCAAAACCTGACTTTAACTTACTCTACAGCTGTTACAAGGCAATTTCGGGTTATGTCTGGTCACAATTTGCGTCAAATTTGAGAAACAGCTTCAAGAAGCTTTTAACGATATTCTCAAATATATCAGAAACTCGATAATGTTTTCTTCTTCTTGCTTCACCCTCATAACGCTCTCTGACGTCCTAAAATAGCACGAACAACTCACTTTCAGCCCAACTGTATTTTCCTTGAATGGCTGTTGAATCGCCATATCACCACACGGCATCGCACGTTCGTAGGGGTTGATTCCGGATCTAAAATTTCGAATATTCGATTTTTCCTAACCATTTTCCTGTGAAACTCACCCAGAAAACCACAAGAACAGCGAACAACTGATCACAAGCACTATAGCAATATCGAGAGCCATGTAGATTCCTCCCTGAAAAAGTATATATGGTTTTTTTTTTTGGAAATTGTTGCCACAACCTTGATAATTGCCGTTTTTCGGTCGATTTCCTCTTCTTCCTCCTTAAAACGCAGCAATCTACCACTAAAAGTGGTCCGCCGCAGTGCTCGTTCTGACATATTGTGTCTGAAAAAAATTTATTAGCAAAAAATTTGAGAAATAACGACAAGAAACAAGCAAAATCTGATGAAAAAAGGTAAAATCTACGTTGCAAATAAATAAAAGAAAGGTCAGTCCGACGGGGCGCGTTTGCATTGCCCTTGTGTTTTGGGGGAGAGTGACGTCATAGAACTGTGGGGAGGAGACCGAACGTTTTGTGTATATGCAAGTATGTGCCACGTGTATTAGTGAAGAAGACACAAAATCAATAAATGTTTATTTGAGCAGAATATCAAACAACAAAAAGGGGAAAGTGTTGGACATTGAATGATAAGAAAACGTTGTGTGAGCTAGGGAAGCAAGAAGAAAATAAGTAGAATCTGAATTCATTGGTTTGAAGGGGACATAAAAAGAATTGTTGAGCAGAAAATACAGAAATAATCACATCACAAAGATGGTTTTGAACTAAATTTTGGCTAATTTCGGATGGGGGAAACAAATGGTGACTCTCTAATACGGTAAAGCAACTGAATTGGGGGGGGGGGGGGGGATTGGTAGCAAGTTACAGTGTTGAAAGAGAAAATTAAATTTTATAAAATCGTTGCGATAGAATTTTTTTCGGCAAAATGTTTTCATGAATAGAAATTTTCTTAAAGACTGTCTACAAGTTTTGACTAAGTTTTTGAAGAGATGTTCTGTGTTTGAGCTGGTGGGGGAAGGGTTAAAAAGAATGAAGAAAAATGAATTTGATAATGCAATGGTGGTTTTTGGAAAACGCGGGGTTGATCACAAGACATATTGAATATGAATTTTGTTTTCTTGACGAGGAAACAATTATTTTTTACAGCACAAGTCACTATAATATAGACACAGGCACACATTACTGGGGAAAATCGGTTTCGTTCAGATTAGAGATTATTTTCATTGATAGTGATGCACCATGGAGCCGACACCACGATTCGAGTCGTTGCTGATTTGAAGATACTGGTCGAATTCGTGTGGATTGATGTCCTGGAAACGGGCTGTTGTGTAATTTTGAAGAAAGATATAAAAAGATAACAAAAAATCTTACGTCAAGACCATAATTGTTCTGCATATTGCGATGCATCTGGGGTTGATGTTGCTGTTGATGCTGTTGAGGCTGGTGCTGTTGTTGCGGTTGTGGCTGTTGTGTCGGCATTGAATAGTCAACTTCCATTGCGTTGTCGTTGATTTGGCTCTGAAAATTGGAGATATGATAAGCGAAGGAAAATGGGGAAGCATTGATTTCGTGCTTGTTGTAATTTTTTAAGAAGTGGAACTTTTGATTAAACCATAGCTGTCAATAATAGGACCGCGACCGGACACCCAGGTCGTGAGTTCGTTACCGGCGACTTAACCGTCAGCTTTTTTTACAGAAACAAGCTCAGAAAATTTTAGGGTCGCTTCGGTGTCTCATCGTAAACATCTCGCCTCCCCTGATCCGAAGTGAAAAATAACGTAATTGCTCTAACAGGACTTCACCTGATTTATTTGCACTTTGAACTCAATTACCTCTATTTCCGTAAGACTTATCAAAAATCTGTCAACTGATAAAATATCAGTGATATTATGACGAATAATTTATCAGTTGACAACTTTCAGATAAATGTTTCGGGAATCGAGATAATTATTGTAAGATCAAAGTGTAAGTGGTATTCTATTAGAACACACATTTTCTATTGATTATAACATCCTCTGTTGCCTTGATTGTTTTTCGATATCTGTGAAATAAATTTGTAGTGTAAAAACTGGCTTTTTGGCATGGTAGCTTAACCGTTAGTGACTCGGCGACCTAGGATTACTGGGAAACCTGTAATAGACGAGCCTTTCAATAATGTGTCAATTTACGAAACACTTCTGATATTTTGATGAATCGGTCTACAACTTGTCATATCTCATACAGGAACTCAGAAAAATTGGTCGAGTTACAAAATTACAAGGAAACTCACATTCTGATACTGATTTGACATCTGATTCATCCCGTTTTGTGATTGCTGCTGCTGTTGCTGCTGACTTGTCTGAGCTTGTTGCTGATACATAAAACTCGGTTGCTGTTGAGGTTCATGTTGGTGCTGAAACTTTTCATTTTTATTTGAATTCTGATTTCCCTTATAAACCCTCACCATCATATTTGATCCCATCGGTGAAATAGCCTGGAATTGTGGTTGCGGACTATCCAGAAGCCCCGAATTCATCAGCTGCGCATTTTTCTCTTGGATCAGCATTCGTTCGTGTTGCAACTGCTGAATGTAGTCCATTTGTTGCTGAGAAGAGTATTGCGATTGGGGTGGATGATTGGACATCATCTGTGGGTGCTGATTGATTGAGGGCAACGAGCGAGAGGGGTTTCCATGATCGTAGAAGCTGTTGTAGTTTTGACCCATATCTTCGACTCCGAATGGAGCTTGTTCTCGAGCTGAAACTTTTTATATGAAGACACTTGGTTGCTTCAGAACATCAAAACACTTACGAATAAGCCTTGGGTCATTCCACGTCGTCGTTTTCGAGTTATGATCTTTATAGTATCGATGCCCTTCACTATCGTAACAAATTTCCCATCCATGCGGCATCGGAAGTTGTTCAACGTCTTGTGGAGTCATGAAAGGCCTCCTCATTGGGTCCAATGAGGAGCTCTTCTCCCGATTTTGCTGGTTCATCATGCCTTGATGATTGTGTTGGCTGAAATTGTGATTCTTCACCGTTTTTTGAAATGATAAAAAACTCACTCATTTGAAAATCCTCCATATGAATACGCTTCATGTGATACTGACTTGACGTGCTGCGGCTCTACCGGGAAACCAATATTCATTGGCGGCAGAGCAGATACACTCTGAAAATTTTAAAAATAGGATATCAATCAATTTTAAAAAAGTTACCTTTGAGTGTTGATGAGCAACATTTTGTGGATGGTGTGGAGGAGCGATGGAAATTCGTCTGAGATTCATTAAAAATTTAAATAACAAGAAAACCAAGTACTCACTCTGGATTATAGTCAGGATGAAGTTCCGGCGCACTGACTTGTCGTTTATGAAGATGCTGCTGGTTCGGCATCATACCCATAGCTGGACTAATTGCAGTTCGACTGCTAGACGCTACCTCATCGACTGACCCCTGAACGAAAATCGTTGCCATTCAGAATTTCTTTGCTTTGAGTGATAACCCCATGTGCAACGTGAGACGGAGAAGGTACCTGTGGCGAGTGTCCCGCACTGCTTCCTCGAGGCCTTTTCTGAGTGTAGAATGATGGGGGGAGTGTAGCTGGCGGTTTCTGGAACAGATTGAAATATTTGTCGTTCTCAAAAATTCTAATTTCTTCTTTTTTCACCAATACCGTGAAACAACAATCGCCATATTTTCTCTAATTGAGGCTCGCCTTATACGTGCAGTTTGAGCTCAGTTATCTCAATTTCTGTGAGAGTTGTCAAATACTTGTCACTGATAAAATATCGTAGATATTATGATAAAAAGTTATCAGTTGACTAATTTTGATATTTCATTTAGGAATCAAGATAATTTAGCTCAAATTGCATCTATAGACTATTCTTCTATTTGCGTATTCACAGTATTTCGGTTCCTGTAACATATCATAAAAAAGGAACAAAGGTTAACAATTTGTTCTTGACAGTAAAAAGTTGGTTGTTTTGAATTTTAAACAGGATTATAGATTTAAAAAATTGGATTTTAAAGAAAATTTTAGAATTTAGAGTAGGTCAGAAAGTGTTTTTTGAATCTAAAATTTACTGATAAATCCGAAACATTCAACTAGAGCCGGGTTTTTTAGCAACCGAAATAAAATCTATTCAGCGTGAGGGACCTTCTGAGACGCTTTGTTTCACACTTCACACTCACTAAATCGATTTTTTTGAAAGTTTCACAGTATTCACAATAACAAGCTTGAGTTCTAGTTGTCTTCTTGTTTTTTAATACTATTATTTTCGTCATATTCTGTTATTACATGCTCTTATAGAAGCACACTCCATACCTGCTCATTGACCTCAAATATTTCAGTTCTTTCAAAAAATATATAAGTTTGCCAGCCGATGAATTATTATTCATTAAATTCCTAACATTTTGTTAGTTTAGGAACTGAGAGGATTGAGCTCATAGTGCACGTATCCAGAAAAAAATACAGTGTTTCATTCATATGTCATTTTTTCGTTATCTTTCAATGCGGTCTGACCGGAAGTCCCTAAAGTCAGAAGACGTGGCAACTCCTCATCTTTCAAAAAAAAGTGGCTTCTTTGTCTGAGAACAAGTCATAAAACTGGATGTGACGTAACGAGGCGACGAATCTTGTTTCTAGCAAACCGAACACTTTGACCCTCAATGACTAACTGTAATGTATCGCATCGGCGTTTTTGCTTATTTTTACGATTTTCAACACGCTTTGCTATAAAAATTACTTGCCTTCGGATTCGGGTTCTTTTCATATTTCTTCTCCGGACGTATCAAGTCTCTGATACTTTGATCGGGATCGGAAATGTACTGAGTGAACTGAATCTGCTGTTTTTTTATATTCTTCAACGCCATTTAGTCTGGAAATAAAATATTTTTCATGTTTTGGAGCTGTCATAAGGAAACGAAAAAGTTGGAGAAGCAGGTGCAGGATGATGTACAGAATGAAAATCTTGAATCGAGGGGAAATAGGAGGTGGAGACAAAGAAAAATCAAAAAACCAATATAATAATGCGTTACAAAACTAAGAAAGATGCGGACGATCTACCAAGACACCAACACAAATTTCAATTTCAGAGAAGTAAAAGAATAGAACGGGACAGGCTGAAAAAAAAAACAAAACCAATGCTTCATCTGTTTTTTGCTGTTTCTCGACCATTCGCCCACAAGGATTGAAGACGAGGGACAGTGTAGGCGGCGTCAAATGAAAAGAGAGAGAGAGAGAGAGAGAGAGAGAGAGAGAGAGAGGGAGAGAGAGAGAGAAAGATTGATTTTAATACAATTGCAACGGAATCAGAAGTAGACGTCGACTTGAGGTGCGAGAGGGAAGACCCTGAAGGAGGCGAGAGGAGGCGTAGATGAAGACGAGGAGAACACGAAAAATCTGGCTGCGTCGGTGTCTAGAAGGTCAACCGAATTGTTCGTACGGGAGGTGCCTCTCACTCGCCCCAACCTCACTACTTTTGCCTCTAACTTATTATGATCAGTTTAGAGATAAGAAAATCAGAAGAGAAGAATCCGGTGGTCGGATTGTAATGGGACGGGGGGGGGGGGTAGGGGAGAAAGAGGCAGAAGAAAGTGCTTAAAATAAGATTTACGACCTCACATCGAGCATCAGAAGAGCACTAATGAGATTTTTGTAAGATTAATGGAGCTTGTCAGTTCCTTGAACGATTTTGTAGAGAAAAAAAAATTGGGAAAAAAAGAGTTTTTCAATCAGAAAAACGTAAAGAGTCGTCACCGACAAGTCGGACTTCTTCTCTGCGATCCTTTTAGAACTTGTGTTTGTACTGGGTGTTACATACAATGCCACAAGTAGTGCACAAACAAATACCCGTTCCCCCACACACAGGTTATATTCTTTTCCGCTCCCGTTTCTCTTTCCTAAGACAAAAGATAATGATGAACTGTAGTAGTAATGATAATTTTCAGTAACAAGAAAGAAGAAGCAAAGTTCAAGGCGAGTGACACCGTGACCAAAATGGGAAAAAAGTGGAAAAAAGGCAATATGTGTCATGAAAAAATATATTGCAAAAAACATAATACTGGAAGGAAAATATGACGTTTTTGGTCTGTGGATCTTTTAAGAACCGTTTTTTCTCCACACCGGAAATAGTGACGGCAGAACCGACAGAGGGAAAAAATTATCAGGTGTTTTAGCACGGTTGTGATTACACTATTAATAGACTGGGCGACTTCTAGCTAGCAAAATTCAAAGCACAAAAGGTTTTTTGAGTTTTTTGGTGTTATGACGGTCTGAAAAAAATTGCTCAGACCGGATATCTCGTAAAATTTTTTAGAGGTGCAAGAGTGAATTACTGTACTTTTTGGATTTTATTTTGGAAATTGTTTTCCTATTTTCTCAATTTTTCAACGATTTGTAATTAATTAGAAATTGCAATCGTCGAAGACTCAAGAAAAAAGTAAAATAATAACTTTAAATGAAATTAAGAAAATAGGAAAATACAAATTTAAATATTATTTTTCTGTGTTTTTTTTTCTTCAATTTTTCGATAATTTTCAATTTTCGATAATTTTCAATTGATTGAAAATTGTCGAAAAATTGAGAAAATAGGAGAAAAAATTTATATATAAGATAAAAAATACTGTGGTACTGGTTTGAGAAAAATTTAACGATATATCCGCACTCAACCTGTTTTTCTGAGCGCCGATCCTATTGAGATATATCAAAATTTGCAGGAATTTTCATTCCGAGAATTACTGTAGTTTAATAACTACAGTACCGGTCAAGAAAATAAACAACAACCTACTTTTCAGTTGATTTTTGGCCATTTTGATCACATTTCAATAGTCTGCAGCTGGGGTGTCCAGTTTCAGGTCACTTTGAAAACTCTGGAAGGTGTACAACATACCTAGATTAAAAATTGCTTTCCCACACTTTTTCGAAAGTTCCTAGTTTTTCCGCTATTTGCTGATTTCCGAAAGACACACTTTTGGTCCGTTTTTTCTAGAAAAAAACTGGTATCTTTTAGAAATCTGCAAAAAGCTGGAAAACAAGGAAATATCGAAAAATTCTGAAAACGCAGTTTCCATCTATGTCTAAAAACACTCCTATGTCTTTAAACACTCCAAAGTTTTCAAAGTGACTGGACACTTGACAGCCGAGCTCCAGACTCCAAAAAATAGTCGAAATGATAGAAAATCAACTGAAAAAAATGTGTGTGTATCTTATTGCAAGGTACTGTTTTTTTGAGAGAAATGATCTATATCAGTTTTTGTAAAATTATGAAATGTTGTGAAACATTGTCTCAAACCAGTTTTTAGAGGTCCTAGCAACACATTGCAGCCTTTCTAGGGATTCTTCTCTACCTAAAGATTGGGGGGGGGGGGGGGATTAGTGGTCCCTACCCCTAATTTGTATGTAGTCTGCTAAACGCTGTTCATTTCTTGCTACTAACCCAAAAATAACCCAACATAGTACTATTGTGAAAGTCAGGGCTCACATGACAAAATTTTTTGATGTCGCCTCCATTCTCTCCACCCACTCAATAAATCTACAAAAGAAGCGAAGAGTCGTCTCTCAGTTGTGTTTTGATTTTAGTCTCGGACTCGATTGTCCATTAAAATTGTTCAAACACCACGCACCGCCCCAAATAATTGTTTGCACTTTATCTTGAATCAACTCTGTTTGCGGCAAATTGGGGGGATGGGGTGGGGAGGGGAAGAAAAAGGTCAGATTGGATTCACTGGTTTGGTTTGGAGCTCACTTTTTGGGTTGGTCTTCACGCCAGTGCCAAGATTAATGAAGAAATTATTCAGAAAAAAGCGTCCTCTCCGTTTGCCGGATTATATAGTAAAATGGAAGGAAGAGTAAAAATAGGAAAAAGGGGCGTACCTCTCTTACCATTCGGGTTCAATTCACGTGATCGTATCCAAGGCAGCAGCAGGCAGCAGCTAATCATATTTTGGTTCCCGCCCCATTGAACACAAGACCTTCGGAGAAAGAAAGTGAGAGAATAGAGAATATAAAAAGAGATAGGAAAAGAGAAGGTTTTTCGAGATGAAGTGAAAGTGAAACTGATCGGTAACACTGAACCCATGGGTGGGGTGGTGTCTCCTTCTCCCCATTCCGGAATCACTTTTCATATTTCATTCTATAACAACGGGCCATTTCTCATTTTTAAAGAAGGGAGCTGTTGATGAGGAGAGGAAGGACACTTTTTGAGCCCGCGGTGAAGTGCCCACGCATTTTTGCGTGCTCAGGGGAGAGCACATTATCATTCGTTACATCAATCCTAAAACACTTTCAAAGCTAAAATCTCTTTTCCTTATTGTTAAAGTGTGAAGAATGCATTTTTTTAAAATGAATTTCAAAAAATTATTTTTAAATTCTCGAGGTAAATAATGGAAAGTAAAAATGCAGGAAAACTGGGTGTGGTAGGGGGAAAGGAAGAAGAAACATGCTTGACACGGGCAAAAATTTTTCCCCTGCTATCAGCATTTTTGGTATTTATTTACCATACCATACAGTCACATGAGTTATCATTTTTTCATTTTTTCAGTGTCCTAGTGCCTGGGGGTAAGAACACTTTTTTACACCGATGACGCTCTCACTTCCAAAGTGTAAAGATGACGAATCGGTTAAAATTGGAGATTATTTCAGTAGAGAGGCGCCAAAAAATACCATTTTCTAATGGAGAATTCGGGGCGTGGCGCTGTTTTCGTTTCGAAATTATACTCATTTCAAGATTACGGTATCTCTTCCTTCTCGTCGTTTCTCCCAAAGTGATAAGTGAGACAAAAGTTCGTTCTATTTTTGATTAATGAGTTTTCTTATTGATACCGATGGACACTGTAGAAAAAAGAACTGTATGAAAAGAGAGAGTGTGTGTAAGCGGTTAACCTCTCTCTCTCTCTTTCTCAAACCAATTGAAAGTGATGAGAAAGAAAGGCATTTGAACCTAATCTTTGGAAGAAATGAGAAAGAGAAAACGAGAATAGAATCCGTGATAGTGATTCAGAAAACGGTTACTGTCAAGTGATGAAACGAAAAGAATGGACAGATTTAAAAATCCTTTTGAAGAGGGGGTTTAGAAAATTTCAAAACTAAATTTTTCAAAATTTGAGTTTTTGAAGTCCTAAAAATATTTTTTGCATAGGGCAAAAAAATGATTGGAAAACTGAAAAATGCTTGAGACTATAGTGAAGACAAAAAATTCAAAAAATTTTCACGATCTTGAACAACTTGACTAGTTGATCTGGTTGGAAAAGTCGGATTTAGAGAAATTTTTAATAGTCAATAACTATATAAACAAAATTTCTGTCAAATAGAAAAATTAGCAATGAACAGAAAACTAGCAGAGAACAGTGCCGTTGAGAAAATTTTCAATAAAAGTTATAATATTTCAAAAGTTTTTAGTATTAAAAACTCGGGCTCACTGAGCCGGGGGAGGGGTCAGAAGAATTGCGGGCCGAGCCATGATTTTTCAGTTATGACTTCGAATGCTCCAAATTAGTGGCACAAGATTTTAAATTAAGCTCAAAGTTGGTGGGACAGGAAAAATGTATTATTCTCTCAACTTTACCTGTGAAATTTTTTATGTCTGTTAATAATCAGGAAAACAAATGAGTTCAAAAATATTTTTATTCATAAACTAGTTAAAAGAGAATCGTAATGTCGAGAAAAACCTTATGCAATTCAATTTTATAAAAATGAATAAACTTTTACGAGAATTAATTTATTTTTATTCTTGAAGATATGGGTTTTTTATACATTTGAACTTTTAATAGATTTTGTGAAATGAAAATCTTCATAAAACGAATATTTTGAAATCAAATTGAAACAAAAAGATTGAGGATCAGTTGGTAAGACATACTAGGTGGCCTTCATGTCT